CCCCAAAACCCCAAAACCCCAAAACCCCAAATGCAAGAATTAAATAGTTTGATTTGATTTATGAAATTAAAATAGGTTTTGATTTGAATTAGTAATTTTTCGATCAATAAGGAAGATTGAGATTTTTCCTCTCAGAACCAATTATCCATATCCTTCTCGATCATATTATCGTAGTCTGTTTCATCTTCATCCTCATCATCGTCATCTAACAGAGCGTCAATGCCTCTTTTGATGTGATCATGCATAGGAGGTCCACCCTTCTCCTCTTCATCGTCAGATAAAATATCTTGAAGCAGGAACTTCTCTTGCATTTTACCGAAAAGAGAAAATGCCTCCTCAGCTTTGTCATCTTCATCGACAAAGTTTTATTTAAGTTCTTATTTCTTGGTTTGTGGAACTTCTTGTTGCTGTTTCTTTTGAGTTTCTACCTGCTGTTACTTCTTTTGCTGATCCTGCTACTATTGCAACTTCTTAGCCGCAATCATTTCCTTCTTTTAGCCTTAAATCATTCCATTAATTTGTATAAGATCTATTGGATAGCTCTAATCAAGGCCAATGTAAGTATCACACATCAAGTAAAGTTCAAGTTTCTCATCTAGGAAATCAGAAGGTAATACTATAGTCAAGCTTTTAGAAGTCTGTTTATTGAAAGCGACTCTCTTCATAGCTAAGATATCGTTCATCTACTAGTTGGCAACAATCAAGAAATAGCCTGGCTCTTTTGGCTTAGGGAAGTTAGCAATTACCGCCTTTTGCTTCAATGACTTGTTTAATCTTCTTAAGCTGACTACAATCATAGCTTCACCGCCCTCTTGTAAAGACTCTCCCTCTTGAGGTTCGTTCTTGTCATCAACAGATACAATTGTGTATTTCAAACTTATGATTGGAATTCTGTCTATTGCTTTTGTAATTTCTTTCAATTAATCACTATCTAGATTAGCCTTCATTTAATTGTTCAAGAAATTTCTCACATCACCTCTGCATTTATTGGCAAGCTGTGGAAGATACACCACTCCTTTTTCATAAAGTCTTCTAATTAGGTCACCATCAAAGTGTGGAACATTTAATAGAGGGGATTAGTCAAGCCATTATCCTTAGACTATCATCTGCATTATATGGATAAGGTTCAAAGTAGTTTAAAGATGGCCTTTATGAGAACAGACGTCGATCATGCCCTAGAGGATTCTAATAGATTAGTCAAGGACCATTTTGGTATCAGTAATGTAATCAGTAATAGGAAGTGGGCATCTTTGAAGATGGGCTTAGAGGAGTAAGTTAGCCTTGACGTGGGGGTTTTCTAAATCATGCTTTGCAACTTTAAGGGGAACTAGATGGGTCAAAGCCTCATTAAGAACATCTTCATTATGTCTGACTGGAAGCCCTGAAAACTCTTTGGCAAATGCAAGAGTGTTAATCAAAGTTGATATTTTATCTTCTGGTCCTAGTTTTTTGTTCATCAGTTCAATAGTTTCATAAGAGAGATAATAGAAAGAAGCAAGTCGTCCAAGAGTAGTTGAATTAACAGTGTGATCTTCTGAGTTATACTCAATACACTTAGCAGAAACTAACTTAGCCAGATTATCGTTTACAAGTGCCTGTAAATATGTATTGATTTCAGCTGCATTAGTCTTGTGAAGTTTGTAGTAAGCTGGGTTCTTAGTAAGTCTTCTAAAGAAGTAGGTCCATGTTAAATAGTCGATGCAATTCTGCTTGGTCAAGAGAGTGCCAGAAGCTATTTCAGCATTCAAGTGATCTATTATTTGATTTTATAGAGAAGACTCAACAGGGAATGGCTCATAGAGGAATTTTTTGTAGAAGTTTTTCTTTTCTTCATGGACGAACACACATGCATATCCAGTTTCATCAAATTAGGGTCTACCAGCTCTACCAATCATTTGAAGAAGATCAGTTAGAGGAAAATCAACATACCTTCTTAGTTTTGGATCATAGAATTCAGTTCCTTTGATAATGACTAGTCTGGCTGGGAAATTAACTCCCCAAGCAAGTGTACTGGTTGTAACTAGAACTTAAATTTTCTTCTTGACAAATAAGTCTTCGACTATTTTTCTATCATTTTCTGTTAAACCTGCATGATGCATTCCTACACCATAATTGATAGTTTATTTTAAGTTTTCATCTTTAATCAGTTCTGAAATATGATGAATTTCTTCTGGGTCCATCTTTAAGAATGGTCTTTTGAATTCATTAATTTCATATCCTTCTCTTTCCTGTTACTCAGCTGCACATAGAGCTATCAAGTCAAGTGCTGTTAGTCTAGTTTATCTTCTTGATGATACGAAAATAAGTACTGGGTGATCCCTTGAATGTGTCATGATTGCTTTGAATGCTGGCTTATTCATTGTTCCCATTCTCGGACAATAATGTTTCTCAGAAAAACCTTCGAAGAATACTTTAATTGGCACTGGTCTAACACTTGGCTTAAAGTTATAGAGACCAAGCTTATGAATGCCTAGCCAATCAGCTACATCTTTTGCATTTGCTAGAGCAGTGGACAAACCAACAAATCTAACATTATTTCCTGTCTATTGAGAGATGTATCTCATTCTGCTAACAATTACTTCTATTACAGGACCTCTTTCTTGACCGAGTAGATGGATTTCATCAATAATGACAAGAGCTACTTATTAGACATAGCTTCTATGCTACCAATTACGAGAAATACCATCCCACTTTTCAGGTGTTGTGATTAGTACGTCAGCATTTTTAAGAGCTTTCAAATCAGGTGTAACATCACCAGTCAGCTCTAAGACTACTTTTTTAAGTGGACCTTCTTGTAATCTCTTTTTCCAATCCTATATCCTTTCTTTCGCCAGGGCTTTTAATGGAGCAATATAGATGATCTTTGAGGTAGGAGCATTCTTAAAAACTCTGAGCATTGAAAATTCTGACATGATTGTTTTTCCAGAACCGGTAGGGGCACCAATTAATACATTTGAGTCAGTGTGGAACAAGGTATGGAATACTTGAGTCTGCACTGGATTGAAGAATTTAATGTTCTTTGAATCATATAACTGCTCAAATTTCTCATTATTCAATGCCTTAATGCTTAATGGTCTTAGGTTAAGTAGCTTAGTGTGGGGATAGTCTTCATCAGGTACTTGAATCTCAGAAAGTTCGATTTACCTCCAGAATGAGATGTCATACCATCTGTCCGAAAGAATGTGAACATTGTAATAAGATCCTAAAGCGATCTTCTTTTCTCCCTCTGATATTTCATAAGGAACGAAAAATGTTAGGTTAATCTCTGATTCATTTTTAATCATTTTGTTACCTTTCCTCACCTTTTTAATATCTGCTTTGTGAAGAACGAAAAATTCTGAGTGAAGAATTTCACTATCATTATCAACTATAATCCAGAAAGGTTCACTCTTTCCATTCCATCTGTCATTCCATTCAAAGTTTGGTATGATATTTAGATTAACTTTGAGAATAGCTCTGGTAATAGGCATTACAGTAACTTCAACATCTAAGTAGGGGATATATGAAACAAATTTTTAAAGTTCCTCCATGCCTTAGGGTCCTAGATGTCTTCCTACCATATCATATTCTTTATTCCAAAGTTGATCCATAGAGAGATCAGCATTTTTAACTCTGAAAACTACCTCTGGGTTTAAGTAGCCGTACTTAGTTACCTTTTGATTTTAATTAGTTAATTTTCCAACGTAAGATGTCATAGTCATCTACTAAAGTGGATGATCAGTTGGTCTAATTCTCTTATCAAGGATTTAACACCATCTTAGACCGATCTTAGCGAGATTAGAATAGTTTTTATTCATTGCGATTTCAAAGATAGCTCTGAGCAATCTGGCTGCATTTTAGACAATATAAGCCATATCAGAAATCAAACTGAAAGTCTTAAGTTAAAGGTCTCTAAGATAGACTTCAAAGAGAATAAGAACTTTTGTGTGAGCCTCATTAAAGCAAGCTTTGTCAATGTCAAAGAATCTAATGTCTTGGATGAGTCTCTTCAATTCATCATGCTCCTCTTTTCTTGCTTCTAGTTGCTTGAACTCAGAAGATTAAGCCATATGATAGAGCATGATTTATTCTGATGTATGAGGTTTGAGATTTTCCATATAGTAACTCATAGTTTCACAATCAATGTAATAGTTGCTAGCGATTCTACCCATGTCAGTTGGATAAACTGATTCTGTTTGCTCGTTATATCTGATTAGTTGCATTCTGTTCAATCTTCTAACAGACTCAGACACTTTTTCATAAAGAATGAAGTGAGCTGATGGATCTTCTTGAATTTGAATGGCTTTCACTCCATAAATAGTTGGATTTTTAGTAAGTCTCTAGTAGTAGTAAGATTTCTTCAACCATCTAATTCCATCAGTCAAAGTTCCGATCGTTCCACATGATATCTCAGCATTGATACAGTTATCAAGGCCTGTATGTAGGTTACTTTCAATATTTTGCTTATTAGACATGATTTTTACATATTCATCCATATCTTTAATCAGAGTGAGAATGATAGCTTCTCCCTCTTTATCGAATTAGGGTCTACCAGCTCTACCAAAGATCTGTTAAACATCAAATACACCAACATTCTAATAAGTACCTGTGGCTGAGTCGTACATTTTAGTACCTTTAATAATAACTGCATAGGCTGGCAAGTTAACTCCCCAAGCTAGTGTTGCTGTAGATACTAGTACTTTGATGTGTCCCTCCATAAAGAGCTTTTCAACCAAATTTCTATCTTTTCTTAGCAATCCAGCATTATGGATGCTAAATCCACTATCAAACAAAGTTTTGACTAAGTCATTCTTTGACCTTTGCACTTCTGCTTTCATTGTATATGATCTTTCACAGTCGAATAGTTGTCTGTCATGTGGTCTTTTGGCTATTATCTCAATTATTTCTTTAGCTGTTTAATGCGTCTCTGCTCTTTTATGAACGAAAATAATTACTTACTTGCCCATTCTTAAAATTCTTTTCAACTCATCATAGATTATAGTATTCATAATGTTATTTGCTCTTTATGCATTACCAAGATTTTTAATACCATAAAATGCGCATTTAAGAGGAGTTGGCCTGTAACTTGAGTCGAAATAGAAAGTTCCTTGACCCTCGGCGCCAATGAATCTAGCTACGTCCTCATAGTTAGGCAGTGTGGCTGACAAACCTACAATTCTGATAGGCTTTTGAGTTTTATGGCTGGTTAAAAAGGCTCTTGCCACCAAACATTCTAAAACCAGTCCTCTCTTATCATTAAGCAAATGGATTTCATCAATAATCATAACATTTACCATATCCATCATTCCATCTGACTTTCTTGTCACCACATCCCACTTTTCTGGAGTAGACACTATGATGTGAGTTTCCTATATCTCTTGCTTGCTCATATTCATATCTCCAGTAAGTTCTCTTACTTGTATTTTCAAATAAGCTAGAGCTGATTAGAATTTTCCAACAATTTCAGAAGCTAATGCTTTAAGTGGAGCGATATAGATAATTTTGAAGCTTTTCAAAGACATGTCCCATTGATTTTGAGGTGCATTTTCTTCTAAGTGCTGTGAAACCTCTCTTAGAATTGTAAGTAGTGCAATATTAGTCTTACCAGCACCAGTAGGAGCAGATATCAAGAGATTAGTACATGACTTAAAAGCCTTCTAGTAAACAGTAGATTGAATTCTATTCAAATGCTGAGTATATCCAAAAGCCTTCTATGCATAACCCGGAAGGTCTTTAATGGCAATTAGTTCATTTTTATTATCAGGCACCTTGGCTGGTGGGACTATCTGAATATACTTGAATTCATCATTCTCCTCTGTATACTCAGTGTAATCCTTCTTAATATCTGGCTTCTCAAAGACTTGACTTGAACCGACAGCCTTTCTTCTCTCAAGAGTCTCCATTAGGTATGCATTTTAAAGCTATCTCTTTTGAAGTTGCTATTCTTAGAGCCCTAGTCTCTTATTCTCATCGATGAAATCTCTGTCGAAGCCTAGTCTCTTAAGTAGTTCATAATTAGTTGATCTCATATTTTCCTAAATAATAGGGGCCATTCCTTTATTCTTTTTGCCTCCTTTTTTAGATCTGATCTCTACATTGATGTTTGATGGAGCAACCGTTGTCATATTCTTAGGTCTGTAGTTATCCTACTACTTTTCACTTTACAATTTCTCATTGATGATCTTGCACTGATCCTTAATGATATCTCTTCTCTCAATCAGCTTCTCAAGCAATTCAAAATTATGGAATCCAACAAGATTTAGAAGGTCTTCTTGAATTTCCTCGTTAGTTTTATTTGCTAATAGGATAGTTAGGAGATTGACGAATGCATCTGCATTATTGAGAGCACTTTCATTTCCATCCTCGTCCTTTAGCTAAAGATATCTGTCAAGAGTATACTTGAACCAGTTAACTTTGTTAGGCTCTATTGAGGCTAGGTCTACCTCTTAAATAGATTCTTCCTCTTCTGCATGGTTAAGTGAAGACTGATTATTTGAATCGTCATCAAGGTTGAATAGATCACGGTCCTTGGTAGTAGAGGATGAAATCTAGGTCTTATTAAGGTTGCTAGATTTTTCCTCCTCTACTAAGAAATCATCCTTTGTAATCAATGATTTCTTTCCTTTAGTCTCATTTTCACTAAAACTAGCTTAATTCTTGCTCTCTTCTCTCTCCTCCTCTTCATCACTTGATTCAGTGGAGACATTTATAGTGCACTCTTGGAATGATCTGACGAAAAGGTCATCAAATGTCTAATCGTTGTACTTGAAGCCTTGCCTTTCCAAAATGTCTGGAATTTACTCTGAAGCATTAATGGCGTCTCTGTGAAAGAAAAGTTAATGACAAATAGATTCTATATCTGTTATCTTCTGCTAATCAAGTCTCTAAGTGAACATTGATTGGAACATAAAATAGTCTTTCTCAAACTCGGGTTCTACGTTTTCTTTTCCTATTTTAAAAAGCACGAATTTATAGACCCTAGCGAGGACGTAAATATCTGCTACCTTTGCTGGCTTATCTAGTCTTCTAGCTTTGTTATAAAGCTCCTAATAAAGATTGTTGAAAGTTTCTTGCTTTGAGTTTTAAGCATGCTTCATTAATTGAGATTCCTTTTCAAATAGATAAGGGTTAACACTAAGCCCTTGCTTTTCTAGTTCGTAAGACTTCTTGATGTTAACATTTCTCTTTCCAATCTCTTTGAGTTCTTGCTGATAAGTGCCTCTCAAAGGTGGTACTTAAGGTGAGTTTACTCCAAATTTCTTAATCTTTTCCTCTCTGATTTTTTACCTCAAAAATGTCGTAAATTTAAATGGCTAAAAGGGTTATTGAATCAAACTATGTGATGAATAGCTTACTTCTCTTTATCCGAATTCTGCCATATCTTAGTGATATTAATTAGGATGCAATTTATAAATTTAGTATATTTAATAATAATTGAAGGTATTTATAGTTGATCAGTCGAATAATTAATTTTTAAATTTCAAACATTATAATGGAATCTCTCTCAGTAAAATTAGGTAAATCCCTCTAAAGCAAGTTATCTTTGGATGTATCCAAAAAGATGAGGACCTAGCTGGTATAACTTCTACTTCTATTTGCTAATTATAACTTTAGGAATAAAAATTTCAATAGCAGAAACAAGTAATGAATGTGAGTAATTATCTAAAAACTTCCTTAGACTAATAAATTTCAAACTATAAACAATCACCTGAATTGTAATTAATTCTGCTGAGTCTTAATTTTAAGATAGCTTAGAGCAACAAAAAGAAAGAAAAGTCAATAAGTTCATTAATAAAAAAGATACTCAAAGAGATATTAAACTTTTAAAGACCTGCTTTACTGTTCTTAAAGCTTATCTAGGGAAAAAAAAGCTTGAGAAAAAAGAGCTATAGATAATTAACTACTGCAAATTAAAGATAAAAAAGCTTAAGCTAAGAAGATTGTTCAAGGCTTTAAAGTTATACGTAGCATAGACTAATTAATGGGTCTCTCAAGTTAAGAGATAATTTTAGTAGTAGACTCTTTAAGTAAGTTTTATTTATAATTATTACATGAATATTCTAGAATAGATTTATTGACATTTTGAATAATGCTCAAGCAGAGAGACTTCAACGAAGACGGCATATAAGAATCATGGCAAAAATATTCAGGTATCTGCAATATCAAAAGAATCAATCCCTAGAGATTACAAGGGAAGTCTTGAGCATTACAGACTATAAAATGGTTGATAAAAGCTTTAAAAAGATGAAAAGGTATTACAAATGCCAGAGTAGACTCTAAGATATTGAGAAGAGATTGAAAAGAAGGTATTGTTATAAACTAAAGAGTGTTGCTTTTGGAAGTCTGAGATTCTACACTTAAAGGATTAAAAATGCTAATAATGATAGGATATTAAAGAGATTTGCCAAAAATGAAAGTTCATTTTTTGATGATAAAGGCGATATAGTATTATTGGGAGATGAAGAGTAAGATAATTTCTTTCAGATTTAGGCATTAAGCTCCTCGCAATATGAATATGGAAAGGCTGGTGAGTATTAGAACAAAACTCATATTACCAGAAGACTTTCCACCCACATTGCTATTATTGATAAGTGAATTTGTAATTTTAGCCAATATTTTTAACATACTGAAAATTTGAATCAAGGGGTTTTGGGGTTTTGGGGTTTTGGGGTTTTGGGGTTTTGGGGT